CATACAAATTTATTTTTAAAAAACATTAAAATATTCAATAACTTAATAAAACTATCAAAATAACATGTTGTTAAAAAGAAGCACACTACTACATGAGAATATAAAACCTAAAAACACTAATTGAAGTAGTTAAACGATAATTAAAATCCTAAAAGGTATTCTACAACATACAACCATAAATTTGTGCTAGTTCCGGAAACTGAAGTTGTGTAATCTTGCGAACTGCTTTAACCCTAACATTTTTTTTCAGTAGAACCCTTTTTTGAATTTGCCACAACTACAATTCATTTGAAATTTAATAAACAGAGGTTGAAATGGAATTGGAGAGAATTGGAATGAAATTAGAGAGATGGTAGAAGGTTGATGTGGTATTGAAATGGTTAAGAGTGGTTTATATATAATTCTTTTTTGAAAATAGAGTCAATCGACAAGTTCTTATGGGTTGAGATATACCATGTAACTGACGAATTGTGACATTAGCAAACCTGTACCTAGGCCAATAGTGGTACCTCGATACTAGTCCTATCTATTGACAAAATAAGCTCGACTTTATCCACCCTTAGAACTTGTGTCCTTACAGCCAACAACGCAAAACCGTTAATTGGCAAATGCAATGAGTAATTAATTGATTTTTTTCTTTTTAATTATGAGTAATTAATTAATTATATTTTGTTAAATGATTTTTCTTAGAGTAATCAAATATCTTCGTACTTATCATTATACTCACTAGATAAAGACACATGTTATAACCAAGAAAGATGATTAAGAGAGAGAATTAGTGGTATCAAAATGTCATAATCTTATATGAATAAAAAGATAAGTTCGAAGAAAACTAGGAGAAAATTTTTAATTTTTTTTCTTAACAACTAAATTAAATAATTTGTAATTAAAAATTAATATGTAATATCTAATAGCTTGTATATATATACTTTTAGGAATGGTCATACTTGCCATATGTTATCCCTAAGGTAAAATTTTCTAGTATAATTAGAGATAAGTGATTATTTTAATGAAGATGTTATAAGGTTATTTTATATATATATATATATATATATATATATATATATATATATATATATATATATATATATATAAAGTTTTGATTTTTTTATAAGATTTTGTTTAAAATATATTTTTTATTGCTTATAATATTTGTTATTATTTTTGAAAATTTCCCCCAATTTAGTATGTTGCTACGTAGCCTCCTGGATGTTTGGTAGTAATTCGGTCGTCTTATTTCCTAGTACACAAACAAGAAGGCACACTGTAAAAGCAGACAAGTGATAGGTTAGAAAGTGATACCAATGGATGGATCCTGGTATTGCTCTCAATGCTTAAGTTAGATGTCAATTGAAAATGTTACAAAATTGCTTGTTAAGAGAAAATTTCTACCTAGCTCCTTTAGCGATACTCGGCTTTTATAGGCTTTCAAAGGTGTACCCACTCGAGCTTTTATCCGGTTTCTTGCTTAGTCCGAGTAACAACAACTATTTGCCTTGTATAGATATGCATGTTGCGCTTTTCTCGAGATATGCTTGCCCTAAGAACTTTGCCCATATATATTGTCATTGATTCATGGTTCATTATTGTATAATGGTGGGTACATCTAGCTATTAAGTTAAGAGGTTCTAGAGTTGGCATTTGCTTGTTTGTTCGATTTGGATACATCATTATATATATATATATATATATATATATATATATATATATATATATATATATATGTGTGTGTGTGTGTGTGTTTGTGTGTATTGCTAAATTTTTTATTACATATGTCAATGTATGCAAAACCTACGAAATACTCATAGGAACAGAAGAAATTTAAGCTTGTATGATACATTTTAAAAAAATAGTAACTTTATGCCTTTACCCATTGATTTCAATATCACTAGGTGTACATTCATGTTTGTGGGAGATTTAGCAGATGTTTGTAAGATTGATCTTGAAAAATGTTTCTTTAAGGTGGCCATTCCATTATCTCAGTTGGATTTTATTCATATTTTTGTAAAAAAAATACCATGATTTTGTTTGAGGCATATATAAAAAGAAATTTGTTAATGTATGATCAAGGGTGATTGTGCTAGGAGTTATAGTGATAAAAATGACTTGAAAGAACATCTTGTTCGAGATTGAACTTATACCAATATAGATACGGCAAAGAAACATCCATCTCCTGACATTAGTGCCAAATATTGGTAGACAGCCATCACTAAGTTGTATACAACTCTCAAGTACATGTGTCCCTCTAGTTTAAATAAAAAAAATGGAGCATTACTACCATATACATGTTACAACATTTTATCTTATACACAAAAAATACATGAAGAAGTAAGCCAATATGTTAGCATTATATAGAAGTTTATATATAGTTATTATGAAATCCTAGTAATAGTTATATTTGGCTCTTTATCGGCAAGAAAATGACAAAACACTAGACATATAGCTATATACATTAATGTTGTATATTTTCGAAATTTTTTATAACATCCCACAGTTTATGTGTGTTGTCTCCACGATGCAAGAAAATAGCAATGTACGTCCATGATTTGTCTAAAAATGAAATATACTTCCATAAATTATTTGACATATCAATGTACTTCCATGATTTGTTTAAAATAGTAATGTACTTGCACGATTTATTTAATAGCAATGTACTTCCATGAATTGTTTAAATAGCAATGTACTTCCAAGGTTTGTTTAAACTAACAATGTACTTCCATAATTTGTTTAAAATAACAATATACTTCCATATTTTGTTAAAATAACAATGTACTTCCATGATTTGTTTAAAATAACAATGTACTTACACGATTTATTTAAGAGAGAAATGTATTTCCTTGGTTTGTTTAAAATAACAACATATTTCATGTGTGTTGTGTTTGATCTATGTGTGTATTATATGTTTAACGTAAGAAAATAACAATTTAATTCCATGATATTTTTTTAAATAACAATATATTTCTATGAATTGTTTAAAATAAAAATGTACTTTAAATTTTTGGTTGCATTGCTTTTAGTAGCAATGAATTGCAAATACCATAATGTTTATTATATATGTTAACTTAATGTAATTTTTATTCCAGAGAAAATCAATATGGACGTATGAAAATGATTGATGAAATTGATAAATCATCGGTAGATGAAGTTGAATGTCTTGATTGTGCTCTTGGGCAAAGACATGGTTACACACGAGGTGTTGGTCACAATCTTACAAGTGAATCCCCTAAATACCCCGATTATGAATCAAGTTGATTTACACAAAGATAAATAGCAACAAATGCACAATTAACATACCAACACTTAACTCATCAATTCATTCAACATTTGCAACAAATTCAACATAAAGAGATGTTAACTCATAACCTTAACTACCGATCCTCATCTCGTTACAATTCCAATTTGATCCCTCACAAATGAAAATGAATTCGACTACCGAAGCAAGTGATGAAAGCGAAAAAGAAAGTGATAAGAATTAGTTTGGTTTTAGTAAACATTGAATGTTATGGTTTCTATAAGATTTGAATGGGTTTGTTTTGTATTAAAATATTTTCTATTAGTTAAGTGTTTGATAATGTAATGTTTTTATTTATAAAGATTGAAAGGTGGTTTTTAAAATCTAAAAAATAAAACAAAAAACATGTAAAAATATCAATCAACCTTAAAGTGGTTATTGTGACAACATTTCTCCACATATAAACAAAAATAAAACTTGCACATTGGCTATCTTAATAACATATCATTGTGATAAAGTCGACGAAATATCATCTCAAAAGTGGTAATCTGTAACGACATGTCACTGAAAAAGTAATAACTAATATTTTTTTAGTGGAAATAATTATCAGCGAAAATTAACGGCATACGGTTGACAAAAGAGCGTCTATGCTAGCAAAATTTGTATCAACTGAAGTTAAACGTTATACTGACAAAGTCATATCAACAACATGTGTTGATATAACGAAACTTGGATTCATGTATAAGACAAAGGTCATCGCCATAGGCCCTTTTTGGTAGAGTGATTGTGCCTAAGTCACCGGAATATAAGATGTCCCATGTTTCGAAAAACAATTTTTTTTCAACGTAAGTTTGGCATGTTTAGATCAAGAAATTAAAAAAATGTTGATCCAACTTAATTTTATTTGCAGTTAAAGAAAAAAAAAATATAAGCTTATGTGAATTCATTTTTTATTTTAGATGCAAAACTTTAAAAGAAGTAAATCATTTGTAGAACTAATGTCAACATAAATTTACACTATGTTCAATAACTATTTTAAGAAATAAAGTTTGAAATATAATATTTAGTATTGCAAGTTGAAATTAACAATTTAAAATATACAGTCAAACACCTATTTATAAACGTAATATTGTTTTAAATTGTATATTAAATTAAATTTAAAAGTATTGTAAAGAAATAAAATAGATAAGGAACAAAATTGGGGTCTGATTAGAACATTGTGTTGTCAAACGTAACATTTGGGAAATAAATGGTCTGCGTAGAGGATCCACCGATCCTCCCAGGTACTCATCATCAAACTCCAACCCCTTATCTAAATCTAAATCTAACCCTAACCCATAAATCCTCTAATCTCTATCAGCATACAGTAGAGAGAGAAACCCGGGATTTAATTAAGAGAGAGAAACCACAAAAACCCACATCCCCTCTCGCTCATCACATCATTCTTCCTAATTCTCAACCGCATATGAATCTCTTTCAAGTAACCTAGATTTCCTCCCATGGGAGCATCCTATAGTTAACTCTTTCATCTTCATCATTCACTCGTCATCGCTTCTTAAATAGGATTTTGGTGGATCTTTGATGTTCGATATTCTTCTTCTTCTTCTTCTTCTTCAGGCTGAAACTCAATAATCAACCATAAGCAAGAAAGAGTGAATCTTGGTCAAAACCCTATTTTCTCAACTTTCTTGCTGTTTGATAGCTTAATTCTTGAGGGTTTCCAATCTGAAAGAGTTTGAAGCTTGGAGTGGAGAATCGATCGAGATCAATGGATCAGATAACGGCATCAGCGCACGGACACTCTCTTCCTCCCCCTTTTCATACAAGAAACTTCAATCTGCATCAGTTTCAGCAACAAAATTCTGAAGATGAACAAAGTGGTACGAGTGGTCTCAACATGGCAGGTCATAAAAGAGACCGTGACGAGAAGAACAACGATGATATGTTAAATGGCAGCGGTGGCGGCGGCAGCGAAGGTAAAGAATTAGAAATCTCACGGCGGCCGAGAGGAAGACCTGCAGGTTCCAAGAACAAACCCAAACCCCCGATCATCATCACAAGAGACAGCGCCAACGCACTTAGAACCCATGTCATGGAAGTCGCCGATGGTTGTGATGTGATGGAAAGCATCGCCACCTTTGCACGGCGGCGCCAGCGTGGTGTCTGCATTATGAGCGGTAGCGGCACCGTCACAAACGTTACTCTCCGACAACCCGCATCACCAGGTGCCGTCGTCACATTGCACGGTCGATTCGAGATCTTGTCGTTATCAGGTTCTTTCCTCCCTCCACCAGCTCCACCTGCGGCCACGGGGTTGACTATTTACTTAGCTGGCGGACAAGGACAGGTGGTTGGTGGAAGCGTTGTGGGGGCACTTCTAGCCGCCGGACCTGTGGTAATCATGGCGGCATCGTTTAGCAACGCCGCCTACGAAAGGCTCCCTCTTGAAGACGAAGAAAGCACTTTACCATTGCAAGGTGGTTCATTAGGATCTCCGGGAGACATGACTCCACCACAACAGCAGCAGCAGCAACAACAACAACAACAACTATTAACAGATCCTTCACTCTTCCAAGGCATGTCTCAAAACCTACTCAACTCAATTCAATTACCAAACGACGCTTACTGGGGCAACGGCGGCGGTGGTGGAGGTGGTGCTGCTGGTCGTCCTCCATTCTAACACTAGATCGATCTCAGACATGGAATGTACGTACATCGTCCGTTCTTTTGAAAACCACACACAAGAAGAATTGATTGAATATCAAAATACCCGAAACAAGATTTAGGACGTTTATGTTATTTAGAGGATTTGAACTGTTGAGCAAGATTTCAGGTTTCATTCTTTTACCCTTTTCTTCCTAATTTATGTCCAACTCTTTTGTTTTCTTCATCTGGTTTTGGTTAATTAGCTGTTCTCAGTTTGATATTATTATTGTTAATTAATTAAGATGATCATCATATGCATGTACTTTGATTGAAACATCTTTGTGAATTGTAGCTTCTATCATTGGTGATCATCATCAGCTGGATAAATAATTCTTGCTATATATATATAATTCAGATTCAAAATTTCAAGTCCCGATAACTTGGAGCTGGTTATTAATTTAAATCTTACACTTGAACATGTATGTCAATTAACTTAATTACCAGACATATATAATATGTGGATCTTTTTAAAAATTTATACGTTCTAAATTCTTTCTCTTATATCATTTAAATTTTAAATAAATTGATAATGTAAAAGGTGCTAGAATCATCACTATTCTATGTGTCTTATCGGAATGAACATCCATCTTCATATCAATGATGTAAATGATACAATTAAAAGTTATATATAAACTAACAGGTGAAATAATTGGTAGTGCACCCATTATCCTCATACATAACTCATAATTATCTCTGAACTTTTTCTTTGTAAATTAACGTTTTTAATGACTCGTTTTGTAGTGATAGATTCATAAAAGTTAAGAAGTTTTTAAATCTTATAAATTTTAATTTAGAGGTTATTAATTCATAACTTCCATTATTTCATTAAGCTGATGTAAAGATTATTACAGTTGCACTCATCAGAGTAATGCTCCAAACATGACACCATTAATTTATAATTTACTTTCTTTAAAAAAAAAACTTGTGTAACAAATTGTTTAAAGAAAAATTGTGTAACAAATTGTTTTATAGCTAATGATATGTCTACAAGATGAGAAGTTTGAGCACCTAATTATAGATATTAATTTGTAAGCCACTAATAATTACAACAGTTATTTTTTAATGATACAATTAAAAGTTATAATTATATTCGAATTCAAACTACAAGTGAATAGGATAATACAGTAGAAAATGTATTATTGGTTTCATTCACCATGCACACTCCAAACGCTTATCCTAGATTTGGACAAAAATGGCAACCGTTATGTTTTGACTGGTCTATTTCCTATTACTTTGCCGCAAACGAGTACCTCACACTCTGTGCTTGTACCATGTGCATCGAAACACGTAACTTATCTGTCAATACAGGACGTTGACTGATTACATTTAAGTTCTGAATCTATCAACATATATAATGGATTTAAACAGGGAGTTTGTTTTTTTCTTTTAATTTTCTTTTTTCTTTTATATCGTAAAAGATTAAAACCATGGAAGTATTTAACAGTCCCGGAATTGTTTTCGTATATAAATAAAGAAATATTCTCCTATATTTCTATTATATTCCTACATACTTAAATTGCAACATTTGTTATATTTATAAAATTAGTAAATTATTATTACATATGACATTATCTAAAAATGGATGTAACAGAGAATGGGTAGGAAGAAAAAACTAAAAGAATATTTAACTTTTCTATATGTATATATAATAACTAAAGTTTACAAAACAAAAGATTAAAGTTTAGTTACTATGTGCACGTATTGTCAAAAAAAAAAAAAAAAAAAAAATATTACAAGGATTATAACAAAAACCATTGTAACTATATGATAACAATATATACATTATTTTGGGATAAATGGATCGATGATGTATTCATGCACATAGACAGCTGAAAATGTCATTCCCCAAAAAAACAGCTTGCATGGTAAGTAAGAGTTGTAGAAGATGCAATAAAAATTGTACTTTGTATACTCTGTGAATCTCCATTGGAAAGAGAAAGAGAGGTGAGTCAGTCAGACTCAGATGCTTTGTACTGAAGCAATCACACACTCTTTGTTTTGCTTTTCAGCGACACCTCACTTATTGTCGGCCTATATATATCTCCATCTCTATTTCAGTTTCTAGAAAAATACATTATGTATCATATGCCGAAATCGGTTTCGAAATTTGTCAAAGTTAAACATGTACGTGCCTGTATACGACTCAAAAAACAAACCAATGGAAAAACGTTATTACAACTCTAAAAACAAGCAACTAAATGATGATACTAGCTATCTTAATATTATTATCATTTAAAGGATTTGTAAAATTCTCCAAAATACTATGTAAATAATGTTTATACGTTTATAAGTCATAATATACATATATAGCGGTGAATTCATGATTTAAAACTTAGACGTGTCTATAATTTCTTCTAAGTTATTATTAACTTTAATAACAAATATTAAACACAAATTAAAGGGTTGTTGTCATCAAAACCCATACAAACTCTTTCTTTTGATTTTAAATGGTATGTGGATTGTTTTTTGTGCATATTGAGCCATTGAAGTATGAAATTGTGTCTAAAGAAACCTTTTTGGCAAAAATTAAAGGGGGCATTCAGTAAATGAAGTTGATATGAACTCAAAAGGCTTATTTGTGGACTTTGTCCACGGCTGTTGTGGACTAAAATGAAGACTGTCGTGGACTTTGACATGAACTTAGACTACCCATCTACTTCATTCCATTGCATTCATCGAACATTAATCCCAACGCCTTCATTCCAATTTCGTCTCCTATGCCTTCATCAAATCAACATCAACGTCATATGCATATGCATGTACTAGCAAATGGGAAAAAAATAACTTAAATGTTCGTAGTCATAGCTGCTCAAAGAACATAACTTAAAGAATGAAACGAAGAGGCCGTCTCTCATTTTGTATGACATGCATGTACTAGCAAATGGGAAAAAAATCCTCTAACCCTTGTTATATGATTACACATGCTATGTACAAGAAGATATTTATCCTAATTTTTTCACATACTCGATATCAAATTTGAACTTAAAAGTTAACTTTGTACCTAGAGATATGTATTGGTGGATCGGTATAGTCTGTTATCAATTAGCCTTACAAAATCAAAGGTAGTAGCAATCATTGTACATCTAGCTATTTTTAGGTATAATGGTGACAAAAATGATTTCTCATTTTAGTTGAAACAACATGTAGATGAGAAGGTGGAATTGAATCGGTTAATAGGGTGGATGTATGGTGGTTATCGTGAGATTCTTCATTTGCACATGGAAAGAGGTGGATGTATGGTGGTTGTCAAAAGAATGGAAGGAATATGAGGGATTACTTGCGTTCAGGTGAAGAGGGAAAGGTGTAACACCCGATTTATGGTTCGTGGTTTATCTCATGATTTTTTTAAGTTAAGTTTGAATCAGGGTTTTGGCTAGCTCGCAACACGATTACTTATTTGGAGGCAGCCCCATGTCATTAATTGTGACGCGGTTGGTTGTTTAGTCACGACGTAGTGTACGTTATAGCCCAAAACCCTAGGTCTCGTGTTTTGATCCCTATTTAAAAAATGATGTGTTTAGGGTTTACTTTATGCTTAGCCTACCTTTCCAGAAACTCTCCAAGCTTGATACCCTAGCCCATCTTATCTCTCTTGGTGATCTTGGTCATTTTTTGTGAAGCTTGAAGTTGAAGTAATGATGGTTTTGGTACACAAAAGGCTAGATACAGGGATTTCAAACTTCTTGTCCTCATATTTATGGTATTCAAGTTCTAAACTTTATATTGGCTGGATGCTAGATTTAAGATATGATGTATATTTGCTCCCTTGTGTCGTAATTTCTATAGTGTTTGGACAACTCCGAGTCCAAAGGTTTCATCTTGAAGTATTATGGACCCTTTATTGCACTGAGAATTGGTTATTATCTTCCTCTTTATGCCATGCAAGGATTTTGGTGTACTTTGAGCTTACCCTAGATTTCAGGTTAGAGTTAAGATGGTTAGATGCATGCAAATGGATAAAGCTGGAAACTTTATCCATTAAGTGCTTAATTCAATGTATTCTAGAAGTTTAGTGCCTTTGTCTTAATGGATTAAGGTCATAAGAAGAAGTTAGTTGTTTACTAGTATTCGTGGCGCGATAGGTAGGTAACCGCGGTGCGAGTCACGGTGAACAATCGCGTCTCTTTTGGCATCTAGTGACCGCGATTTAGTCTAAGATATTGTCGCATCGCGGGGATTGTTGATCGTTGACTTTTGTTCAAACTTGTTGGGTTTTGAGTTGTAGTATGATGTTTGGCCTTTATTTGGTGTTAGCCAGTTCATGAGATTGTTTCTTGCCGAATTCATATTTTTTGCTATGTTTACTTTAGTATTTGATTCATGTGAGTATTTTCATTATGTTATGTAGGACATTAGGTGTCATGGTATGCTAGACTAGTATGGTCTTACTGGTTGTTTGTATGCTTACATACTTGGTTGGGCGAGACCCGTAGGGTTGAGATAGACTTGTTGGGGTGAAACAAACTCGTTATCGTAACGTATTGATATTGTATGACGTGTGTACTATTTTTGGAAAACTTACTAAGTTTTGGTTTATAGTTATGAATTTTATGATTTTCAAGATGTTTTATTATTGGAAGGAAGGGCACAGCTTGAGTACTGTACCGCATGCACATCGCTATTGAATTATGAATTAGACTTCCATTGATTTTATGATACTATTATGTCTTGGAAACTATGTTTCTTGATGATTGAACAAAAATGGGTTTTTATTTTACTTCGAGAACATATTTTGACATTATATTTTATTCTGAAAAAAAAATGGTTTGAAAAGTTAATGGAACTTTACAAAATGGTGGATATACAATGGTTGTTGAATTTGTTGATATACGAGTGTAGGTTTCTCTATTTTCTCATCGGAAGTCTGGCCGACGAGTTTGACTACTAGCATTCTGGTGAAAAGAAAGAAGATAATAATAAAATCGGGGCAAATCATCTCAGGAATGCAACATTAGTGTCCAAGTGGAGTCAATG